AACAAATGAATGGATAGAGAAGCTGTGGTATATTCACACAATGGAATACTATGCTGCATTGAAAAACAAGGAACTCATGTAATATTATTCAAAATGGGTGAGCCTGGAGGACATTATGCTGAGTGAAGTATCTCAGTCACAAAAGGACAAATACTGCACGATGCCACTGTTGTAAAACAGGCCTGACCTCGGGGTTGGGGGGAGACTGAGAAAGATGGGTTCAATAATGTATTCAGAGGCAGTAAATCACATGGGAGGAGACTGCTCATCTTTCCCCTATGGAGCAGCTGGTGGATTTGAACCATGTACCTTTGTGTTGGCAGCACAATTCATTACACTAAACCACCAGCGCTCCCGTGGGCAGGCCATGGGATGTTCAATACTCTTCTCCAAAACCACAATTCATCAGTTCTTCTACTGCCATCCTTATTCATTGTCCAAATTCAGGTGCATAGGAACGGACTGAAAAGGCCATGGCTTGGATCAAGAACTAACAGACCATGTAAACCTCTGGACTTGATGGTGCCCAGCTACCACTCCTGTCAGGTTCAAAAAGGATGACAGTAGAGGGTCCTGGACAGGGTGAAGGAAAACCTGCAGAACAAAATGAAATCGTACAAACGGCTATCCTGGCTGGTCTAACAGACACTGGTGGGACCTCAGCACTATGGTTCTTAGTCACTCTCCAAGCCTGGGTCCAAATGCATCCCCATGGCTTCACTTGAAGCAAGTAATAGACAGCCTTATGGGGTAAGGAACACGGAGAAGGTTCTCATTCCCTACCACAAACAACTCTGTAAGATCAAAAGGGACGCATTTGCCCAGGGATAAAGCTTAGAAGTCAAGAAAGGATAGAAAAGAAGGATGAAAGGAAACAAGAATCACAGAGAGGGAGCAGGACGAATGCTACCAAGTGGGGACTGTTAAAAAAGAAAACATTAGAGTTGAAGGTGACATGCCTTAAATACTGTTGTTGTGTCCCACAGAGTTGGAACTGACCCATAATTGACCTTCTGGCAGGTTTTCAGAGGCAGTTAATCACAAGGGAGGAGAATGCCCATCGGTCTTCTATGGAACAGCTGGTGGATTTGAACTGCAAGCCTTTGGGATTGCAGCACAGCTTCTTACCACTAGGCCACCAGAGTTCCCTCAAATGAGTGATTTATTTCATTGAATTGTACACAAGAATAATGTTGTAATAATAATAATAATAATAATAATAATAATAACAACAACAACAGCATTGGAAAACGTGTCATTTGCATCATTTACTACAATTAAACAGACATGTTTCAGTTATTTAAAACATTGTGTTTTCAGAAGACCTTTTATCACACATCTGTGGCCAGCTGATTTTCAATAAGAAAAGTCCGTTCAGTGGAGAGAGCATAGTCATGTTAATAAATGCTTCTGGGACAAATGGATTTCTACATGTAAAAGAATGAAACAGAATTCTGTCATGGTTAATCTGTGCATATCAATGTGCCCAAGATCCTCAACCTAATGTAACTATTCTATGTGTAGTCGATTCTAACCTCTATGATGTTAATACTGAGAGTGCTCTTGTGGCTTAAATGGTAAGGAACTATGCTGACAACCTCAAGGTACATGGTTCAAATCCATCAGTTGCTCCACAGAAGAAAGACTGGCTATCTCCTCTCATGTGATTAACTGCCTCTGAAAATCTGCTG